TTGTGGACCACTAAACGTTAGTGCAATGGGGAACTATCACTATTTCATAACCTTCACTGATGATTATTCACGGTATGGTTATGTTTACCTATTGAGGTACAAATCTGAAGTATTTGAAAAGTTCAAAGAATTCAGAAATGAAGTGGAGAAACAAATTGGTAGAAATATTAAAGTTCTTCGATCAGATCGAGGAGGTGAATATTTGACTAATGAGTTTCTTGATTATTTAAAAGATAATGGGATTGTCTCACAGTGGACGCCTCCTGGAACTCCACAACTCAATGGGGTTTCAGAAAGGAGGAATCGAACATTGTTGGACATGGTTCGATCGATGATGAGTACCACTGATCTACCTCTTTCATTCTGGGGCTATGCCTTAGAAACAGCAGCATATATTTTGAATAGAGTGCCAAGTAAAGCTGTACCCAGCACACCTTATGAGATATGGTGTGGTAAATCACCCTCATACAAATATTTACGAGTATGGGGTTGTACTGCTTATGTAAAGCAGTTAGTGGGAGGTAAGTTGGATATGAGATCCATCTTATGTAAATTTGTGGGGTATCCTAGAGAGTCTATTGGATACTATTTCTATGATCCCTCTGAACAAAAGGTGTTTGTTTCGAGGAATGCTGTATTCTTAGAGAAAGATTTTATCTCAAAGAATAGCGGAGTCATAGAACTTAATGAAGAACAACCACAAATTCCACTAAGTACCACGGAAAACATACCAGTAGAGACTGGACCATCTAAAACACAACCTCTTCGGAGATCCGAAAGGGTTTCTAGGGCGCCTGAAAGGCTATACCTATTGTCAAAAGACAATGAAGAGGGATTCCTTTTGGATAATGATCCAATAAGCTATGATGAGGCAATGTTGGACATTGACTCAGATAAATGGCAAGAAGCTATGCAATCCGAAATAGATTCCATGTATTCAAACAAAGTATGGACTTTGGTTGATCCACCACAGGGTATTGTACCCATAGGTTGTAAATGGGTTTACAAGCGAAAACGTGGTGTAGATGGAGAAGTAAATACTTTTAAAGCAAGACTGGTTGCTAAAGGTTATACTCAAAAACAAGGTGTTGATTATGAGGAAACTTTTTCACCAGTAGCAATGCTTAAATCTATTCGGATATTGCTAGCCATAGCTGCGTATTATGACTACGAGATATGGCAAATGGATGTGAAAACTGCTTTTCTTAATGGAAATATTAAGGAAGACATTTATATGAAACAACCGCAAGGTTTCATATCCAATGGGAGTGAACAAATGGTTTGTAAACTTCAAAGGTCTATTTATGGACTTAAACAAGCTTCGAGGAGTTGGAATATTCGGTTTGATGAAACGATCAAAACGTTTGATTTTCATAAGAATCCGGATGAACCATGTGTTTATAAGAAGGTTAGTGGGAGTGCAGTTACATTTGTTGTTCTATATGTTGATGACATCCTACTCATTGGGAATGATGTAGGGATGTTGCAGTCAACTAGGACATGGTTGTCAAAACAGTTTTCCATGAAAGACTTGGGAGAAGCATCCTTTATCCTAGGGATAAAAATCTATAGGGATAGATTTAAACGGATGATCGGACTATCCCAGTCGACGTACATAAATAAGGTGCTACAACGGTTTAGCATGGAAGAATCCAAACGAGGATATATTCCAATGAGTCATGGGATTTCTCTTTCTAAGACGATGTCTCCAAAGACACCTGAAGAAAGAGAACGGATGAGTCATATACCTTATGCATCAGCTATTGGTAGCATTATGTATGCAATGTTATGTACAAGACCTGATGTGGCTCATGCACTTAGTGTAACGAGCAGATATCAGTCTAATCCAGGTGAAGAACACTGGAAAGCCGTTAAGATGATTCTTAAGTACTTACGAAGGACTAAGGATATCTTTATGGTATACGGCAATGGAGAACTGAAACTAGAAGGCTTTACTGATTCTGGTTTTCAGTCCGATAAAGACGACTATAAATCCATGTCTGGATACTTATTTACTCTGAATGGAGCAGCAGTTAGTTGGAAAAGTTCCAAACAAGAAACAATTGCTGACTCTACGACAGAGGCTGAATATATTGCTGCATCTGATGCTGCAAAAGAAGCTGTTTGGATAAGGAACTTTATCCAAGGGTTGGGTGTAGTACCATCCGTTGTTGATCCAATAATGATTTATTGTGATAACAATGGGGCTATTGCGCAAGCAAAGGAGCCAAGATCTCATCAAAAATCCAAACACATTATGAGGCGATACCATTTGATTAGAGAAATCATTGGTAGAGGCGATGTCGTGATGGAGCGAGTCGACTCAGCAGAAAATATAGCAGACCCCTTAACTAAACCCTTATCACAGAAAGTGTTCGAAGGACATCTTGAGAAGATGGGTCTTAGATACATGAGTGATTGGAACTAGGGCAAGTGGGAGATTGTTAGAGTAGGGTACCCGGCGTTCCAATCTAATTGGACGTATTCTACTTGTAAATACAGTCTATTGGAATTATATTATGAATAAGGCATTTCTTTATCTTAAGAGAAAGCATTTATCTTATAATTGCACTTAAGATAAAATCCCTAGATCACTTATGGTTATAAGGTATGGTTGCGCATAGAGATGGTGATCATGGAACATACCTTGAAAGCCGTGATCTTAAATACAGTTCCAAGTCGATGGATGTTTCGAGATGGGATATCGAATAATCCATAAAAGACTTGCACATAGTTTGTATGCTTGTTGGACAAGAATGTTGCATTCCATCAACATTAGCGTAAGACGTAAGTACATTTATGTGGGTGCTTGTTAGAGAACAAGTTCACTGAACATGACCGTATGAAAATTCTTAATGAAGAATTTATTCAGTCGAATAAGAATTTTCATGTTACAATAGTACATGACTAATCCTAAGACTTGAGGCACAATGGTAACTTTGTGCATATTACATTCTACTTTGATTTATCCTTTTGGTAGCTAGCACTATCGTTTAAAGGGATAAGTTGGGTATTATGTTAATATGTATGGAAGTTTGTTAGTGGCCAATAAAGGATTCGACACTTATGAAGATAAGTGAATTTCCTATGTGTTTCATAGTTATTAATCCAAAGTCCTTGGCCAAGGCAGAGATGAATAGTGATTCATAACCGGGTTAATAAACATGAAATAGAATCATAGTTATTAAGTCAATTTGGGTTTCGACAAAATCATACCCAAGACTTAATCGGGAAATTAGATGTCGAAAGGATTTTACATGTATGGAGTTGTAATCGGAATAGGTTTACTCGCTATTCACTTAATACTAGATTCATGCTACTTGCTAGGTGTTACCATGATATGTGGGTTCATAAATTAAAGGGTTAATTCATGAATAAGAGTTAATAAGATTTAACTCAAATTACAAAGTGTTGTAAACCCACTACTAGTATTAAGGTGAACCTAAAAGGTCACACTAATTATGAACAAAGGTAAAGATTGTATTTCTAATGGTTAGAATTAATTGATAAATATCTAATTTGATTAGATATCAATTAAAGGAATATATTAATCAATAAGATTGATTAATTACATTTTGGATATTACTTTAGTAATTAAGGTAATTACTAAATTAATAAAGTTGAATTTTAAAATAGGATTTTAAATTTTAAAAATCCAAAATAATAATAATATGATTATTATAATATTGGGAAAATGATATAATAATAAAGTCTTGAGAAAGATTCTCAAGATTTATTATCCAATTATTATTTATATCTTTAAATATGATTTAAGGATTAAAATAATAAATATGATTATAATAAAATGGTTGTTGATGGTTGTTTGAACTACTTAACATATCTTATTATTTTCAAAGTCAAAAGTTAGTAAATACTATTTAAATAAAATTTGATTTTATTTAAATATTACTAAATGTTGATTATTTTATGCTAAAATGTTTAGTATAAATATGTGCAAAACGGTTTTGCATTTAAGTGAGTTTTTGATCCTAAATTTCTAAGTGTTAGAAAGAGAAGAAAGTGTTCTTCATAAAACTTCAAGAAAGAGTTCTTAAAATTCCCAAATAAAATTCATAAATATTCCTATACAAGAAAACCGAGTCTTTTCTACTAGCGAAGGAAAGTCGTCGGAACCGGGCTTCATAGGGTGGATACGTTTAGAGGGAAGACACTTGGATTCCTCTAGCGAGTAACCTCAAGTCGTTGAAGTTACAACCGGGAACCGATTCCCTCATCCATCATCAATAGTGAAGGAGTTCAAGACATTCGGTAAATATTTTTACTAGTATTTACTTTATAGTAACAAATCAAAATTTGTATATGATGCATGTTTTAAGGATGACGATCAGTTAATTCGCAATTAGTATGTACGGGTGTTGTATTTATACGATAAATACTTACTTTAAAAATTTTAAATTCCGCTGCGTACAGTCCGTACGGTACTAGCGAACCCAACACAAATTACCCTTAGTGAAGGTATAATTTTAATTTTTTTTAGCCATTAGATCATCTGATCTAATGACCACGATTTATTCTTTTTTTTTTCATTGAGCCTCATTTTCACTTGAACTGATTGGGAATAAATTAAAATTCATCCAAGGAAAACAATAAAGCTTAAAAATTTGTCATATAGGATTCCGAAGCGTGTGAGCACTTAGGCTCAGTACATTCAGAAATTATATATAAGTGGATGAGTTTTTTAACTGCAAATATTCTAACATTTACCGTTTATAAATGATTAATTTGCATTTGTTTTAGTTATTAATTTTTCAATTTTGTTATTTTTTGTTTATAATTAATTTATGTATGATTTTATATTGAATTTTGCATTTTTCTTAAATNCCACTTCTTTCTTAAGGACAAAAGCCAAAATGGAACAGAAAGCTCAGGGTCAAACCACAATTCCTACCCATTACAAAGAAGCACGACTATTAGAATTCCAATAGCAAGCAAGGAAGCACAAACCAGAATACCATGGACCTCGAATAAAAAGATAACGACTTTGATCAAGAATGGAGATAAATATGAGATAGACCTTCCGTCTTATGGCATCACTAATTGAAAAAATGATAGATAGAAGTCACAGTTGTATGCATTTCCATCAGTATAACTGAATTAACATCAATCAAGGGCATACATAGAAGAACAGAAAGTGCGAAGACAGTAAAATCTGAAATCTTACTACACAATTACATTTAAATGATCCTCCTCCCTCAACGCAGACACCCAACCCTCTGAATCTCAAATGTCAATAACAAAAAACTCCCACACCCTAACATGTCTGAAAGCCTCAAATCAACAAATCACCCCCAACATACCCAAATGGGCCACACAGGTCAGACCCAAATAATTCAAACGGGCTCTAATACGGGCCAATGTCCTCAGCCATTCACAACCATTTCCATCAACATATCATTCCACGTATCTATTGGCCCCGGCAGACACCAGTGCAGGCAGTCGTTAATCACCTTCTCCTCCTCCCGACCCCCCGCAAACGGCTGGAAAAATCTAAACGGGCCCGGATGCCCATCGGGCCTCAGCAACGACAGCGGGCCCACATCCAGCAGCCGCAAACTCACCCCTTCATCCTTTGCCCTAACACGTGCCTTCCCGAATTCCTCAAGCTCCACGTCACGTAAAATCCTATTAAGCTCCTTCAACTCAAACTCGCCCTTCTTGGCCGGCCACAGCCTCTTGCAGGCCCCGCCACTGAACCACTCTCCGCCTTCAAAGTGGTCGGGAGTCGAGGTTCGATAAAAAACCACCGCGCTTTTGTGATTTGACCTGATGACGTGGTCAAACACATTGCGGATGACTTTTCGGTAGGCGAAGTTGAAGCCGAGCTCGGTGAGGTTCCGTTTGGGGCAGTGGTGGCAGCCGAGCACGAGGTTGTTCTCGTAGTAGATCGTGCCTTTGGTGAACCACTTGCCGCCCGAGAATATTATGTGGTCGAACGTGGGGTATTGTTGGGTCCAGCTGTCGTCCAGGGTGTCGAGGTGAAGCTCGATTTCGGAAGTCGAGACGCCGTTTATGTCCTCAAAAATGGCGGCCTTGGCGAGGAATGGGGACCACAAGACTGAGACTGTAAGGTTGTGGGAAGGGAAGACCCATCTTCGGGACTTGTAGTTCTCATCGTGGTACACTTCGGTGGGATTCTCGACCTTCAAGAAGCAGACACTAACAAATTCTATAACTAACTCTAATCAAAAAGCAGAATTTGAAAGTCAAAAGGAAACAAGATAAAAGTCAACAATGAATGAGCTAAAATCTTTTCAGACAACAGGAAGGGCCTTATAACTTTTTTCTTTTTCCTTTTAATATTGAGCACAAAAATGCAAGCTGATTCAAGTGGCCATGCCAATGTGATCAAGAGAAAATAATTAAAAACTCTTGGCAGGATGGATTCAAATAGTAGTATCTTAAACTCTTAATTTTTCAATTCAAACTCAACAATGAAGGACCTCAATACGTCCTTAATTGTACAAAGGCATAATAATTTATAATCTCAAAGACGAGCGAAAAATTTCATGCATCGTGAGCAATCTTGAATTTCTTCTCGACTCATGCAAGAGTCAAAATAACAAGCTTTAAAGTATTGGAATCCATTCATTACTTTACCAACAGGGTCTGTCAAATATAAGAAACAATAGCTCCCATCTTAGAAAAAGAGGACCACCACCTAAAAATGCTCAAAGTTGAAAGAAGTCAACCATGAAGATGCTATGCAGTGCAGTTATCAAACTATATTTTTCCAGTTAAACCTTGAAATTCTTTATTCATTGTGAGACGATATTTCGTTGTCAGCAAAGAATCAAAATAGCAGTAGCTTACAGTAGAGAGAACACAAAGAAACGACTGGACATGATTCCGCGAAATGGAGTCCCCAATGAATGCCCAACTTTTATTCCTCATTAGCTCTAGAAACTTCCTGGGATCGACTCTGGCCAACTCACATCCATGGGGCTTCCACCTCCAGTAAAGATAATCTTTGTCCGGTCGGCCATTTTTCATACAATTCTGGTGGTCTTCAATTAAGCTGCAGCTGCTATTTGTGTATAGGGGCTCTCCTTTATACGGAACCCAATCCCCAATAAAAAGGTTACATTTTCCTTCACTGTCTAGGGACTCCATGTCATACTCTGCACGAACAACGTTTAAGTAGATAAACACTTGCAAAGATACATGAGAGCAATTAATCCACTGATACGCACAGAACCAGCCCTTGTCAATTAATTCAGCAACTTACCACCCCCAATCTTCAAACCACTTAACAAGATTGAAATTTCATATAGACTACTAAAAAATAAAAAAAAATTATCTCTAGAATCCCTACACTAGCTCAAGGGGTGTTTCCAACATTTAAAAAGGAAAAATAAGTACTTTTCAGCTTCTAGGAGGAAAATTGAACTAAAATACTACTACATAAACACCTCAATAGTGGTATTGGCAATATAGTCCAACTTGCTAGAATTTTTTGCTATATTTCAACACAATATCTCGGTTTACTAATATCTGTTGCCTTATTAAGATCCCAAATGAGATTCAATCTCTAGTAAGTGCACATAACATTGAACAGATAAGAGAAAAGGAAGTAAATAAGAAAAGATCTGACCTTGAATCGTGTTGTGATCTGTAATTTCTTGAGTCTCGCCAGAAACAACTGGGGATGTTGAAATCTGAGTTCTGTCAAGGAAAGGGGCCTTCGAAATTGGAGAAATATCAGAGGATCTGTCACTGTAGAGAAGCCTAAAAGCAAGGGCTACTAAGAGAACTGAGACCCCCAACTTGAGAACCAAGTAATTGTTCTTCTGAACAGACCTCCACCAAGATTTCCAATTGTAAACCATTTTCTTCACCATCTTTTTTTTCTTTTTTTTTTTTTTTANGAACTTTTATCTTTCTCACTCTTAAAACGAAGCCCAGATTCCGATCTTTATCCAAGATGGGTCTTTTTTTAAAGTTAGATTCTTTCTTTGTGTATTATCAATTTGGTTTCTTGGCTCCACTCTTTTTTACAGGAGATACTGGTAAGGACAGTCCTGCTGCATAATACAAGATTAAGCTGATAAACGACAATTACGTCAACACATTTGGTATGGACGAGTTCAACATGACATATATAATCCAGAAGCAATGACGTAAATATGTAAAGAAATGTATGTCAATTTGCTTTCTATCACTCGGAAACCATTTCACTTTGAAGAAGTGTTGCCACATGGCTCTTTTTTTTTTATTTTTTTATTATTAATTGTTACTGAAATTTTACATGCATTTTGAGCGATCGATTATGATATGATCATGTTTATTATTGAATTGTGCACCATTTTGTTAGATTTATTAATTTATGATAAAGTATTCATTATCATTAGTTTTTACAAGAAATATGTCAAAAAAGCGTTAAAATTGAGTTGAGATGGAAAACGGTGAAGATAAGGTGCGTAAGACACCACATGACTCGTGTGATGTGGTCCATAAGCCACACGAGTCGTGTAGCAAAGAAAAAAATAAAATTAACTTACGGCCTTTTCACACGAGTCGTGTGGATTAGTTATATCAGTCGTGTAAGTCTGGGAGGATTGTGTGATTTGAGATATAACACTACTCGTGTGGTTATGTCCCTTAAGTCACACGAGTCGTGTTACGTGGTGTTCAAACCGGCGAGGCATAGGGATTTCATATGATTTCTTCCTCAACATATATTCGACCTACATTATAAATAGGAAGGAGAGAAGTCGGTTTTGGAGAATTTTAACACTTTTGGAGGCCTAGAAAAAGCACAATACAGACAAGTGATCCAAAGGAGACAAGATTGAACTCAGGTCGTCTCGCGCAATGGTGCTCGGTGGTGATCGGCGGCCGACAGTGGTCCGGTGCTCAACTACCCTAACGTCTTCTATTGAATTACCTAACACCTCTAGAACTCCTTTGGTGGGAATGGAAAATTAGGTATCTCTACGTATATTATGTCTTGCAAGACTAGAGAATATGTGTATTTATAGGCTTCAATAGTGACCCTAAAGAGACATTAAATTGGACTTCTCCTATTAAGACTAGACTATATGTCAAACCTATCAAATCTAACAAGAATAATACAGTCATTCCACTAAAGCAGTATTATTGAAAATAATCTCAATTTCATTCCCAAATTACGATTTGAGTTCCACATTTTAATATACTCGAATTACCTCACTATGTCAGCTGAAGTGAGTGATAGCAACGATAAAGTAAACGAGAGAGAAACAATCACTACTAGATCATCAACTAAATCGTTATCTTTCAAACACAACTTTATATTGCAAAATATCTAGAATTTAAAACAAACAATTATAAAAATATAGTAAGTATAACTAATATTGTTGTATGAAGAAATAATTCATAATTTTAAATAGAAATATAAACTCCTTTAGTGCTTCATTGTTTGTGTTACACTTTCCTTTTTAATTAATTTTTTTTTTTTCGGAACGAGAGAAATATTATATCATAACTCAAAGGGAACAAAGTTCAAATACAGACGCGGCCAAAAGCCGAAAACGAAAAGTGAGAGGACACGCTGAAAAGCGGCCTAGACACCCATAAGCGGGATAACACAAAACCAAAATAAAAGAAATACTCGCCTATACCACTGCAAAAGCCTAGCATAGAGGACTATTCCTAAGAAAAATACAAAGCCAAAACTAACTACAAAGCCCGGATACATAATAAACAAAGCAACATAAAGTACAAGAAAGCAACTAAAACTAAGCAGACTCAGAAAAAATAAAAACACCAACTAGAACTAGAGCAAGACAAATGACTTAATGCAGACAGCCCGAGAACTCCAACCAGTCTTTGGAGGCAGCCATCACAGCTCTCCTTGCTGGCATTTTTGAGTCTTGAAAGATCCACATGTTTCGAGTCTTGAAAGGACTATTATTTATTAATGATTTACATATAATATTTTTCAAGCATAGTATAAGGATGCAATAAATTCTGTTACCATCCCCTGGTTATAGTTTTACGGCTAGTGACAATCTTCACAAATGATAGGATCAATTAAAATTCAAACCTTTACTTGATGCTTAGATTTTAAAAAAAAAAAAATATTTAATCATTTTTAACTCAACCACTTTTTTTAACTCAATTTTAACTCAATCTCACTATCATCAATATTATCAATATAATTAAATAATATCAACCAATCATTCTTATACCTCACATCAACTTTAATTCAACTAGGAAGATGCACGTGCTACGCACGTGATATTTTTGTTTTGTTTTTATTAAAATTATTCTATTATTAGATTTAATTTAATAGTATTATATAATTTTCTTTCCATTGTTTAACAAAAATTTGTGTATTTTATTATAAAATATAATATATAATACGTACTATTAACTGAACTCTATGACAAATAAAATTAAATAAAAAAAATATTGGTTAGAAAATCTAAATAAAATTGATATTTTTTGTGAAATTTTAAATGCTAAAAAAATTTATGTCGTCCTTGATTTTGTTATTTAATGATATCATCATTATTCTTAAAATAATAATCATTATTACTGTCAAAATAATAGTTTTTTAATGTCTTTCTTTTACGTCATACTCTTTGAAAGATAACTCGAATATACTATGACTATAATTTGTGATTATCATTTTTTTAATTATTAATTGGAAGCTAACACTATGGTTGAATATTTCGTTATCTATTATTTTGATCATAACTGTTGAAAATTCAATTATATTTGCACGTGTAATATTTCATAATATTTAGATATATATTTTCTCTCTGTATATAATGACATAAGAGATATAAATATTTGAAAATATCTTTAATGTCGTAAGTATTGTATAAAAAAATTTACTTGAAAATTATTAGGAACAATAACTTTCTTGATTAATTAAAGGTGACCATTTATCTATATATATTGTTGTAACATTAGTTGATTGAAGGTACCTTTATATGTATCCTTTATATGTATATTTTCCAAAATAAATTATTGTTGCATTTCTTAAAATTGCATGCATGCATTATCATTTTCATTCATGGATTTTCAAGACTATCTTAAAAGTAAAAATAAATAACTCTATTTTAGATAAATTATAAAATGATGATTCTTTTATATTTTATTTTTATCTTAATATAATTTTTATATATTTGTATAAAGGTTATGTTTCCTACTTTTGAGAAGTGATTTGAAAATTATAATTTATCTATGATTTATAAATAAGATTGACTAATGAAAATAAATTTTAAGTAAATGCATTAATAATTTTTATTCAATTGATTTTAATTGTAACTATATATTTTTTAAGAAGTACACATATTTTGAAATTCAAGATTCAAAATTGAGTGTTAAATATTTTATTTTATTTGTATAATTAATCTATTTTGATGTATATTACAACTAAAGTAAATGATAGAGTAATTTACGTAACACACATTATCATAAAAGAACATTCATACTATACATACTATTACCTGGTAAACCTAAATCGTATCATGCATATTGTTTTAGTGAATAATAAACAAAATAATCCTATTAAGACTACATATTAATTCACTTAACTAAGAGATTTTTTCCACAAAAAATTGATATTTTGTATGTTGAATAACTATTTTTGATTCAATCATTATTAAACATATACATGTTCACTAAATTGTTTCTCTTTAAATTTTTTAATGCTATAACAAAAATATCTATAATAAAATAGGATATTTGGAAATTAGAGATGATAATTTCATTGGTGCATTATATATTTTTCGCTTATGAAATAAATATATTTTAATTACAAAACCTTAAAATAATATTCTCTCTTACGTTTAAAAACTATATATTTCTTAAATTTTATTTTTAATTTATATATTTGTTTAGATAATCTTAACGTCTTTATATCAACTAAGAGAAATTAAATTATTAAATAGGTAACGAAATATAATAAGAGATTAATAAGATCATCGATGACAAAAAAATAAAAAAATAAAAAAGTAGAATGGAAAACAAATAGATTGAAAAAGTGATTGTAACTATTAATATTTGTAATTCCCTCACAGTTGTGACAAAAATTTGTAACTCCCTCACAGTTGTGACAAAATCACATTAGTAACCTTAAAAATTAATTATAGCGTAAGGAATTTTCGACAATTCATTTTTTTCAAGAAACAATTCCCCCTTATAAGATAGTTATTTCAAAATTGAACTTCAATTCATTTCAATTATTCTAGGGATTTAAAACCCATAGTGAAAATGAGTGAATTTATTTGATTAATTTCGATTAAACTAAAAAAAGAGTAGATTATTTATTACATTAAAATTGTATTTTTACTTATAAAAAATGATTATTATCGTATTAACTTGTTATCATGATATATACTTAAGTGGATTTTTACTAAATTTTGAAAATGACAGTGAACTTTCACGACCATTCAACTGTAATTAGTATTCAAAATATATCTTAGATTAGAGTTGATAATAATAATTTGTAACTCATTTGCTCACATTTAATTAAAAGACTAATACATTCTGAATGTTGAAAATAAGGTCCTAAATTATAGTTTCATTTTTTAAAATTTGAAATTATAAACTCATCATTACATGTATTTTATCTTTATAATAGATATGAGTAAACATTTAAAGACATAGTGATGAAAACAAACATTGATGAAGGTAATTTGTAATTAATATGTATTGAAAATTAAAAGGAATATTTATTATATATTTTAATACTTATTATTACTTATATGTATTACTAACTTTTCTAAATCGTGGAAGCATCATACTACTTTTTTTTTAAAAAAAAATTTTCTCTATTTCACAAGAAACATATCTACCATAAATAATGAAAACACAACCACAATAAAAAAAAAATATTAATTATAATATCACAATACTAAAATATCCAAAAAAATAATGAATACAGTAAATATCCAAAAGTTATGTTTTTTTTTCTTAAGGGTAATTGGAGTTTTAGATTGAATGAATAAAATGAATAAAAAGTAAATATATAAGTTATGATTTATTGTGTTGAGTCTATTTTGGTTTCTTATAGGACAACTACATTATAATAAACTAATATGAATAAGTATGTATAATGATTCTCATTTTCTGTCCAAATAGAATACACCAAAATTCTATAAAAATAAAAAAAAAGAATAGATATCAATATTAACTTATTTTAATAAAATATTAACTTATAAATTTGTTAATTGTAAAATACTATATATCTCATACAGTTCAAATAAAATACACAAAAAGGTAAACAAAATAACATAATAAAATAATAATTGGATAATAAACAATTATTATTTTAGTAAAATGTTATTCATTTTTTTTTTTCAAATCAATTAACTGATTAAGTTATATGAATTTTTACCATGGGTGCAATTTTAGAGAGAAGCGAAAGCTATGGGTACTCGTCTAGTATATTTGTAATTTTTTATTTATTAGCTATAAAATGTAATATACATACTTTTTAGACATGATATTTCATATTTTTTTTCTTCATTGTCTTTTATAAATAAAACCTGATTAAAGATTTTGGATATTTTAGTGGACCGTGAAATGTGGAAGTTTAATACTACCTTTTCTATTTTTCTCTAATTCACAAGGCATCCACACTATACATAATGAAAATGAAAGTATGATAAAACATAAATGAAATAAAACATTGATGAAGGTAAGTTTTGAATAATATGTATTGAAAATTATATTAAAGGAATAATTATTATTTGGCTTAATACTTATTAATTCTTATATGTATTACTAACTTTTTTAAATTGTAAAAGCACCATACTACTTTTCTAATTTTTTCTCTATTTCACAAGAAAATTATCCACCATAAATAATGAAAATACAACCACGATTAAACAAATATTAATTATAATGTCACAATACTGAATTATCCAAAAGAAATAATGAAAATGCAATAAATATCCAAAAGTTATGTTTCTTTTTCTTAAGGCTAATTGGAATTTTAGATTAAATGAATAAAAGTAAATATATAAGTTATGATTTATTGTGTTGACTCTATTTTGGTTGCTTATAGGACAACTACATTATAATAAACTAATACTATGAATAAGTATGTATAATGATTCTCATTTTCTGTTCAAATAAAATACACCAAAATTCTATAAAAAGAAAAAAAAGAATAGATATCAATATTAGATTATTTTAATGAAATATTAATTTATAAATTTATTAATTGTAAAATACTATATATATCTCTTACAGTTCAAATAAAATACACAAAAAAATATACAAAATAACATAATAAAATAAAAATTGGATATCAATCAACATTATTATTTTAGTAAAATGTTATTCCTTTTTTTTTTCACAAAATCCATTAATTGATTAAGTTATATGAACTATTTTTACCATGAGTGCAATTTTAGATAGACGCAAAAGCTATGGGTAGCCGTCTAGTATATTTGTAATTTTTTCTTTATTAGCTATAAAATGTAATATACATACATTTTTGACATGATATTCAATATTTTTTCTTCATTGTCTTTTATAAATAAAGCCTAATTAAAGATTTTGGATATTTCAGTGGACCCTGAAATGTGGAAACTTAATACTACCTTTTCTATTTTTCTCTAATTCACAAGAGATGCCCATTATACATAATGAAAATGAAAGTATGATAAAACATAAAGTAATTATAATATGACAATACTAAAATAATAATAATAATAATAATAATAATAATAATAATAATAATAATAATGAAATGCAACATTATGATAAAATTTAAATGAATCTTAATGTCATATTGAATAACAATTTCATTTGAAAAACATTTAGTTGACATATAAATTAGTGGTATACCTTAATATGCAACAATTTGTGATTGAAAAGGACCAACAATTTAGAAGGTGATACTCCAAAATGCGACTATGCATACTCTTGTCATAAATAAATTAATATTGGTAGATGATGAAGAATAATGGGATGAGATTAATATAAATTATATAAATAAAAAATAATTGTATATGACAGAAGAGAAAATGAAAGAGTTGAAGACAACTTATATATAATAAAGAAGACAGGTGTGTGGTTGTAATGTGGTTTAAATAGAAGTTATAATATTACATTTATATCCTTCAAACAAAAGTTACATTTTTTATTTCTTAAGGATATTATTGGCAATTCAAGTTTCTATTTAAATGTGGTTGGATGAGTTACAAATCATCATTATCAACTCTAATTTCAAATTACAAATTACATTTATGTTCTTTAAAGTAACATCTTTTGAGGGTAATATGGGTAATTCAAAATTTTCAAGAAACAACTCATTCTTTTAAGATAGTTATGGATATTCATCAACTCACATAATTTTAATTAACCATCACTTCAAACCATCTATCTCCTACTTTTACATCAAATCAACTTCAATTATTTTATTTTAAATATTATTTTAATATACTGATTAACAACTAACCATACCACTTTTTTCAAAATTAACTAAACTAAATCAAAACGGAAAAATTCCAATAGTCCAATATTTTCCATATTTCCAGCACTCCAATTATCATTTGTGAAATTTGAGTGGGAAGAAAAGGAGAAACTTCTTATTTGTGGTTCAGTGAGAAGAACAATGACAAGTACAAGACCATGCCCTGATTCATTCACCAGACAACCTTAACTCACACATCCAACATTAAACCTAACTCCATGTTAAAACCTCCAATCAAACCTAAACCCAAAACAAGGAAAACACACTCATTCCTCTACAACTCTTGCTGCCTAGTTAGCAAGAATGAGAAGAAAACAAAACCCAAAGAAAAAATAACACCATTAAAAAAAAAACATCAAACAATCCACATTTTCGTTATCTTTTTTTTTTCTTCCATGTCATCAAGATGCCTTCTTGCACGTTGGGTTCAACTCGGACAACATCTTCATGTAATAATCCGACCTGCCACGATGATAATCGATCCAAACACACAACTGCCTTATAGCCTCTCTTTTCTCCTCCTTTAGCCCCAACATAGTATCCTCTTTCTCTTTCACCATCTTCTCCAACTCCCTCACTTTATTCTCCGACTTCCAAACCCTCTCCCTTACAACCAATATCTCCTTCTCCTTATCATCCAGCTGGGCCAAAAGGCAGTCCATCTCGTCCCTCACGTGTAAAACCGCCTTATTCTTCCTCATGGCCCAATGCTTTGCAAACTTAAGTTCGCACGACGCTTTAGAAATCCTGTTCAAAAAATTCGCGCTGCATTCCTCGAAATTTAGTGCCACCGAGTCTAAAGAGGTTAAGACTTTGTTCGCTGTTAGTGTCATGTCCTTGATGCTTTTCAGCTCGATTTCGTTTCTTTCTGCTCGAGCTTTCAAGTCCTTGTTCTGTTGCTCGTACGATTCTTTAGTTTTACGGTACCATTCCTTGTTCTCGACTTGGAGTTGCTCGGCAACTCGGATCCTTCGGCTTAGGATACGGTACTTGTCTTCTAGTTGCTTCCGGAACTCCTCTAGCAAATCTTCTACTTTACGCTCCACGATTTGGAAGTTGGATTTGGAGAGTTTCTCGAGTTTTGATCTGTTTTGGGAGTTTTCTCCTTTTTCTTTGTCGAGCTCGGTTTGTAGGGATTCGACGATTGTTTGGAGATGGATTTTCTCGTTTTTTATTGATTCGAGGTCGGTTTTGAGGCTTTTGGTCTCATATTCTAGGGATTTGGTCTTGGCAGAAGTTATGTTTTGGAAGTCGGTAAGTTTCTTGCGCTCGGTGGATAGTTCGTTTTCTTTTTCGGATAGTGATCTGTGTGTTTTGGAAACTTCTGCCGAGGATTGAGAAGCTTCTTGGGTTAGCTTCTTTATTTGGTCTTCGAGTTCTGTTTTCTCGTTTTTTATGGATTCGAGGTCGGTCTTGAGGCTTTTGGTCTCATCTTCTAAGGATTTGGTCTTGGCAGAAGTTATGTTTTGGAAGTCGGTGAGTTTCTTGCGCTCGGTGGATAGTTCATTTTCTTTTTCGGATAGTGATCTGTGTGATTCGGAAACTTCTGCCGAGGATTGAGAAGCTTCTTGGGTTAGCTTCTTTATTTGGTCTTCGAGTTCTGTTTTCGTGCTGAGCAGAGAATGTATTTTCAATTCTAAGTCGCGAGCATGAGCTTTTAGGCCTTCTTTCTCCTTCGATAACTTCTGCTCGTTCACACTTGACTCATTCTTCAGATTGTTTATTAGAATCAGGCATTCTGATTTTTCTTTCGATTTTTTCTCGAGCTCGGATATTAGTTCGCTTTTCTGGGTATTCGCATTAGCCAGTATATTCTTCAGAGAGCTGACCTGTTCGGTTAGGCCCTTTACTAAGGACGCAGATTTTTCAGTTTCCTCAAAAACCCGTCTTTCTAATTCGACTTTCTCATCTTTCAAAGAATCCAATTTGAGCTGCACATTCTTCGCCTGAGCCTCAAGGTCCGAAATTCGCGACAAGTACTTCTTCTTCTCACTATCCTCAGAGTGTTTAACAGAATAAAAACGGCTTTCGTTTTCTTTCAATTTAGCATCAGCCTCCAAAACCTGACCTTCAAGACTTGAAATTTTTTCTTTCATCTGCATGGCTTCATCCGATTTACACTCGACTACCTCTTTCAACTTTTCTTTTTCCGAAAAGAGTTTTGAAACCTCGAGCTTCAAACTCTCGACCTGTCCCTCCAAATGGGAATATTGGTTCGTGATGCTTTTCACCTCACTCGAAGAAGTCAACTTATCTTTCAAAATGGTGTCCTCTAAATCTGAAGTCGGGTCGAGTTCTTGGTTAATGTCACTGCTGAAGCTGGAGTTTTTCGAATTGCTCCTTCTGTGTGGGGTTTGGACTGTGTTCGACCCGCCCAGCGAGTAGTATGACTCGGAATCCGAACTAGAAGTTGAAGAAGAAGAAAAACTCTCCCCATCTCCAAATCCGATGTTCTTCTTGACTTCTTCCCGTAAGTCTTCGTACAATGTGTAAAGCGACTCATACTGCCTTTGGAAGTCCTCGACTAGGTTAATGGCTTCCGACTTGTTCCTCAAGTTTCGTTCCTTGTTGCCGTGGTTTATGTTTTTCACGAGCTTTACGACCCTTTTCAATTGGTTCTTGAATGAGGATATACAGGATGAACAACTTACTGTGTATAAGTTGCCATTCTGTATACCACAAATATCCGCGTTGGTGATTATAAGGTAAACAAGCCTTAAATGCCATCTTTTTGGGCCTTAGGGCAGTATCCCATATCCTCCATTGACAAGGTAAGGATTCAAGGGGCAATTTATTACCTATTTTCATCCATTTTATCTGTTCTTCCTTTTCCGCGTCGAAATGAAGGGTGCTGATCGATCGCCACGCGTGCTTTGTCATCAGGCTTCGATTAATTAATTAATTAATCCCCTTCTCAAGCTAATGATTGTAGTTACTAGTTAGGATCCCCTGAAAATGAAACAGAGCAATTGATTTCAATTGGCATTCACATCAGGTATATGGACATGCATAAACAAGAAAAAACACGAGCCTTTCAATTTCATGAATCTTAAAAAATGTACATTTTACAATTGATGAAGAAATGAAACATTTAACATGCTTTCAAATATTATTAATAAATGTTACATGTAATTCAGCAGATGAAATACCATAGTGAAATCTGGATCTGACCAAAAAAAAAAAAGAAAAAGGTCAAGGATACCAATGAATCAAGGGAACAATCATGCATGGGCTGGCCATGCATTGTTTGATCTTTTAAAGTTCATAAAAATACTAAATCTGCGCAATAGTTTTGGCATATAAGAGACGGGGCCGTGTAGAAATATTACCTGAAGAATTTGATTGAATAATGAGAGAGAGAAAAAGATTGCTGATCTATATGCGAAAGACAAATCCCAAAAGGGATAATTAGGAGAAGAGGTGTGAGAGATTGAGAGAGATCTCTAGAGAATAATAAATTGATTAATTTCTACATTATACCACGTAGATGACTGTGACATTAAAAGAAACTAGTTTTTAACCCGTGCATTTGTACAGAAAGCAATATAATAGAACAAAAAATAATAAAAAGATATAAACAATAGTAAAAATCATAATATAATCATTGGAAAAATGTCCTAAGAAAGAATAACTAAATATTGCTAAACAATTTTTTATATACAACGTTTCTGAATTTTCTATCAACAGAATCTCCATCAGTACAAATCACTATCTTCAAATTAAGACATATAATGGTTTTATTTTTTAAAATAATTATTGTATTTTGTACTATAGATCATATAGGAAATTTAAAAAAAAAAATACTAAAAAAATACCAGCAAAATATTACAAAATAAATAATTGTATTTGGTTGATAAGTAATGATATGTGCCAAATATTTAAGACATTTGAACAAAATGGCAATTTTTGGGCCATAAAGAAATATATTGATTGAATGATAAAAAAAGCCTAAATTAGAAGTCCACTTAATTTTTTAGGATAGCCAAAATCAAATATAAAACAGGTCAATGATAACATGACTATAAATAGAGATAAACTCCTTGAGAGTGATGTAAGCCATTTTTTCTTTTGATGTCGGCGCTTCTCTCGTTATTCATTCTGTCTGAAACCTTAATCCTTCACCCGATCTTACGACAAACTCGGCGAGATTCAATACAAAACAAATGTTTTACCGGAAACTTTCTCCCGGTAAAGGCTTAAAAAATTAAAAAAAAAACATCCGAGAAATGTTGTTTTTGTGGCCAACAGTAGTGATCGAAAAATAAATATTCGTCCCGATTTCTTAATCTGTGTTGCTAAATCTTAACAGGTCGGTCAAAATCGGGCGATAATATTACAAATCTATGAAGAGCTGAAATATTTTTTGTTCAACGTAGTTTTTATTTTTTATTATTTTCAATGATCTGTGTCATTTTTCAAAATTTTTTGTGAATAAGCTTCAAAGATATATCATATTTTATACATAATTCGAGATTATTTAGATGTTTTTCGAAATCGTTTTTCGAACAGAACATGACATTGGTCGAACTTTTTCAAACTTTTATGTATTTTGTTCAGGGTTTGAAAAAATAGGTAAGTTTCTAACAGATCTGTTCAGCTCTACTAACAAATATATAGGTAAGTTTATAACATATCTGTTCATATTTGTTTATAACATACATATGTACCTTTTATGTATTTTGTTCAGATTTTGAACACTAAATAGTTCAATTCTTTCTCGTCTTTCTCATCATATCAGTAAGTGAAGCTTTGCTAACACTTGTTCAAAATCGCTTTTCGAAGTTGTTCAAAGTCTTTTGCCGAAGTTTTTCAAAGTTTTTAGTATTTTGTTCAAAATTTGAAAATATTAGGTAAGTTTATAATAAGTCTGTTTAGATTATAAGGAATTTCTTGTTTAACGTTTAAAAGAATCTGTAGGAATTTTTATTTTTAAAACTTTTACGCAAAAAATCGATTTTAATATAAAGGCAGATGTCTTGGTAAAAGTTGAATGTGTTGATAATGATAGGGAAATCAAATTATTTTTCTTTCTATATTTTATAGTGTCCAACAATGTTCCACATAATTTGCTGTGTTTTTAATTTTGAACTTTTCATATAGATTTGACTTTTTTTTTTGTTGATTATTAATTATTCTTGATATTTCTATATTATGCAACAATCTGCCATTACATACAATGCTTTGTCAATCCTCATTCTTTGACTTTGCCAATTTCCTTTTAATATGACTTTTCTGTTGCTGAAAGTATGGTTTTTAATGTATTAAAATATTGATGTTTTGGATATGTTTTGATGCTATAATCATGCAGAAATTTGTCCCGCCACTTTTTTCTTAAAGAGGATTGTTTAATAAAAATTAATCATATTTATATTTATAATTGTGAAATAATATTTTTTTTCACGGCCAACAGTTTTTTTTAATGAAAAATAAGAGACAATTTATTCAGCACACTTTTTAATTTATAAAACAGAATGTTGATTGCGATAATCATATCTGCAGAAATCATGCATTTTATTGAATAGTAGTAATATAAAATATTTTATTATTACTACTAAATGGAAAGTCAAAGATAGTTAATTTTGCACTATTAATTATGATCATATGAATTTTTTTTTATACATATGTTTTTTCAATGAACTTTTAAAATGATAATATTGACAATATAGACTTTGCTATAATAATTATATAGACTGTGCTATAATAATAATTTATTTATTTAATTCATAATTTTATAAATTATATGTCATTTAAATGTATCTATACTATTATTATAAGGTTTTACCATTTAGGGGAGCTAGATTTTTAATTTTAATTATGAAGCTAATATTTCTTATCATTTTGCAGCTATATGTTTGATGGGGTATGGCTGGAAATTAAATTACAAAAAAAAAATAATTTCATTTTTTATATTGTAATGTAACATGATCTGTATTATAATGTTTGTATTTAATACATTTATTAATATTTTTTATAGCTTTAATTGCTTATTCAATTCATAATAATGGAATAAAAAAATAATAATATATAGTTTCTGCACAACAATAATGACTACCACGTTTATATATATAAATGAGAATAAGAAACATAAATGTGAGATTAACTAAAAGAACCTTTTAATTTAGCCATTAACTAATTAGGTTTGACTAAAAGAAATCTTTTTAAATGTGGGATTAGTGAATAATTAATTAAAAAATATAACTCATTTTGCAGGAAAAGTGAAGAAATTTTAATTCAATGTTTATTAAATGGGATTAGCTAGTAATTATATATATATAGATGACATATAATAGCCTCACAATGTATATTAAAAATGGATGTGTTTACAATTAGTCTTATTACATGTGGAAATTATTTGTAATACAATAATATTGTAGAAATATTCTCTAGCTTTCGTTGTCACCTATGGAGGAAATTACATACATGCATTAATTATTATGAATGCCATTAATTAATTTATTTCCAAACATCCTTAANCTCAGCTGGCCTGTTTGAACCCCACAACCACCACCCAAAATTAGACTCCATTACCATTAGTACCATTCAGATTTCAGCATATATATTCTCAAAATATGGCTGTTTTCTAAACTATATAATTTTCACCTTTGCAAGAAAATCTCCTTCAAAGTGTACAGTGCACTGTGTACACACACAGGTATAAACTGCACTGAAAAAGCTTTCCAAACCCATTAATTTATTGTGTGTTGCAGAGTACGTAGAAGAATGAACCGCGACAAAGGGAAGATCAAAACGGAGCCCGAATACGAGCTGGAAAGGCGCACGCGGGCAATGGAGATAATTCAAGAAGTGATCTCGCACAAGCTCCAGATGCAAAAGAACACGGCCCAACTGCAAAAAAAAGAACAGAAACTGAAGGAGCTTCAAACTGAAGCCTGGGAAAAGGATCGCGTGATCGAGGAGTACCGCGAAAGGCAGCAGGGCCTGGAGTCGAGCGTCTCGAAAATGACGAAAGAGATTGAGGAATTCAAGAAACAGAAGAATATGGACGATAAAGTCATGGAGGAGTTGAAAAACCGGATTTCGGGTCTGGAGGAGGAAAAACGGGCGTCCGATAAGATTTTGGAGGAAATGAGGCGGGAAAAGGAGGAGGCAGAGCGTGCCGGCCAGGAGATGGCCGGAAAAATGTCGGCGGCGGCTCGGGAGGCGGCGGAGGTTCACCTGAAGAGGTTTGGGAGTATGGTGCCGATAGCGGAGGACTTGACCAACTTGCTGAAGATGAATTTTGCTGATCTGGAGAAGTTTAAGGATGAGTTTGTCGGGTGATCTCGAGTAATTGAAATGTTTGTGTGTTTT